GCTACTACTGGATAAAAAGTAACAGCATTCAATAAGCATCTTTGACTTTGCCTTAGCAAGATTTTTAATACATAATTGTACTAATGTGGTTTGACTAATGAAATACAGTACTTTTTCCTTGCCTAAAAATATTTCCCTCTGAAATTTTCCCGAGTTGCAAAGTTCTTTCTTAAGAAGTAACTCACTTGAACATGAAGTAAAGAACTGGAATTTAGGAAACTCATACTTCAGTAAGTTCCTGAGCATATAAGGTTGCTTTCAGTCATTGGTCTCCGTTATAAGTGAGGGACTTGACACCAGAAATGCTGTTTTGAATTCAGTTGGTAACCTTGACTGTTCACGCCAATGCTGCTGACTTCTGTTTGTTCTGTTTTCTGTAATCTTTCTTTTTAGCCAAGCTTGGTATCATCAAGGCTTTCATTTCTTGAGTTACCAAATGACGGCTAGAAATGCTAGATTGAAGAAATGTTTGTATTTCTTTTAGAGGTTTAGCCTTCCTGGTTGAGGAGGAAAATAAGAAATTTGACCCAGTGTCCCCAGAAGACAAATGAAAAATCCAGAAAAAAAATATCTGTTTAATTCATTTCAGGATTTTGCAGGGGAGGGTTACCAACATCTTGCTGGTAATTTTTAGCAGTTCTGCTATAGGTAGTACTGCCCCTGTAGTGCAGTAGCACTTTTTGGAGGAGGAATATGAGAGCCACCAGCTGATGCCATTTACTGCTTGCTTGGGTGTTGGAGTGCTTCTGAGTGCCTGCTGTGACCAGTAGATGACTGCTGACCCATTAGCAATCTGTCTGAGAACAGCTGCCCATGCAGCGGTGCAGCCCTTGTTTCTAGATGAGGCACAGTGTTAGGTTTATGCTTAATCATTACAGGGCTGCTACAATGGTTTCTTCTCACTTTTCTTGCAGCGTTTACTCTCTGATGTGTGGAGTTCAAAAAAAGCCTTTCCTTCTAAGGGCTACAGCGGTAATTTTCTGTTTCCCTTCTTCAAAGGAATCTGAAATGCAAAGGCCAAATAATAATGTGTACTTGCCTAGAAATAATGTGCTGAGTTTGTAACTACTGGAGAAAATAATTTGGCACATAGTTATTTCCATGTACCTCCCTAGCACCAAGAACAATTACGCACCAGCTGAAGACAGTGACTGCCAAAAGCGCATTTGGATGAGGTGGGTGTTTCTGGGTGGTACAGTCACGTGTTAACAAGTGTGACTGCATCACTGAAACAAAAGTATATTTGTATCCCCAAGCCCTTTGTACGGATATGCCATCCTCAAGAGGAAAGGACACCAATAAAGCATCTGGCAGGGAGGAAAGGCAAAGAAATGAGTACAGGATAATGAGGTATACTTAACTGCTTGCTGTTAGCAAAAACTATCCACCTGAACTGGATATAGTGTTCACAGCTGCTTCAGCAATCATTCTCTGTGAAAGCTGAAGTGGGAGGAGGTCAGCTGCTCCAAATCCTGTTCTCTGGGTATTAGAAGAAATCTAAACTAGCTGGGTGGGATGGGAGGGTAGCTGCAGCAGGGATAGGGATCCAGGAAGCTTGTGCAAACCTTAGAGGAGATGTAAACCTTTTCCCTGCAATACAACACAGAGTCTTCTGATAGAGACAGGAAACCAGACATAATTTTTTCTATTTGCTGAGACTGAGCTCTCACAAGGCATGGAGCTACCTGCAAAAAATCTTAGGTCCAGTTCATAAAATCTTGCTCCTTGAATCCAGTGCTGAGCTCCAGTGGATGGGGAGGGGAAAGCAGCATCCCACAGACATCTTAACCTTTATGCATTTTGAAAAAGGAACTCACATTTTTTCTTAACACATGCATGGATAAATGCTAGATATGAAATGATACTGTGTGGGGTTGTGTGATACAGTGTTCAGCACAGTGGATTCTGTTAGAGAATGAGTGATGAGTTGCAGTCAGACACCAAGAAACGATGGTCCACAAGCCACAAGTGCTTTTAATAGGATAACTACCCACTCATTTGCTTAGATTTCTTGTAGTTGCATCTTCCACCACTGGGGTGTTGAAGGGTGAGCAGATACAGCTCAGTGAAAAGGATACAAAAGAAACCACCCTAAATTAGATTCAGATTATAATACTGTTAACAGTGCATAAATGACAGCTATTTTCTGTTTATCTACATATCATTCCATTCTTTGAGCATTATCCATTATTATTTAAATATGAGTATTTCAAGTATCTTTTCTCCTCAAAAGCAACCCCCTTTTTTCCTTCCAATTTGATTTCACAAGATATTGTCAAACTTCTTACGTGTAAGATGATAAACAACATACTCCACCCTCCAGTAGTCATAAAGGGAGAAGCAGGGGGAAAGGAAGTCCTGCCCCTAGATATCCAATGTTATGACTCAGTACTCAGGAAATGTGGGAAACAGAGGTCTTCAATCTTAAATGTTTCAGTGGGGTTTCCTTTGCTGCCTTCTGCTAATCTGCTAATCCTTTTAGAAAGCTGAATTCCACGGCTCTTTCTGGAGACAGTAGAGCACAGCTGATGTTTAAAGCAGTTTTTTTCTTTTAGCATAATGCAGCCATTGCCAAGGTCATGGGGGCTGCAGAGGCTGTGCTCTGGCTGCAATGGTAGTAAAGCGTGCTAGCTTGCACTGAGCATGAGCCAAATTCCATTCTGTCGCATCCTAGTATCTTCAAAATTTAGCTGTGCTACCGCTGTGCTAGAGCTACGCGGCATGACAAGTGAGCTTTCCATTAGATTCTGGCTGGGTTAAAATCAACACCAAAGCAAATGCACCATTTCTAGTACTTCTGAGTAGCATCTCATTTGGACCTTGATGTGAAAGCAGAATACAGTAAGTTGCAAGTGACAGAAACAAATTAGTTCGATATCTCAGGTTTCAAACCTCATCATCTTGCAGGAAACACCTCTGACAGCTGTTGTGTCAGCTGGTAGCTAGTGGGCAAAATACAAAAATTATTAAACTCCGGAGTTGGTAATACAAGGGAGGGAGAGGGGGAGAGAGAAATGACAGTAATGGCTTCTTTCTGAGTTTTCTTGTCTAATGCAAATAGCTGAAAGTCTCTTGGAAGAACAACTGGAATGACCAGTGATAACTTTCCCAAACTAAGGGTGTCCATAGTGGTCTCATGTCTCAGCTTCTTTGTGATGTCCCTAAGCTGCTGGCCCATGTGCCAAAATAGAGTGCCTTTGCAGGAGACTGCTGCTGCTGACAGTGGATTTGTAGTTCCTGTAAGGAGCCTCAAGTCCCTGTTCCTGCCTGACAGCACTGAATGGGTGGCAATGAAGTTGAATCCAGGGTCTTAGTGACACAGCCTGAATCTGTTTGTCCTGAAAAGTGCAAAACCCATCCCTGTGTTCTGGTGTGGCTCTTAGTGACTCATCTGCACTCAGGGGTAGATGCCCACTGCTCTGTTAGTACTCTTAGCTGTCGGCAAACTTGCACTGCTGATTTTGAGGCAAGGGCTGTTCTTGCACTCATTTGTGCTGTGGCTTGGCATCTAGAGCATGTAAATCAAAATTGGCCAAGGTACCATCTTTGAGGCCTTAGAACTCAGCCCACAAAGCCCACAGTTCGTTGTGGTTATCTTTGACTGAAACAGCTGGCCAGGGCTGGCTGGAGCGCCTACAACGTCCTTTTAGCTCTGCTGGGACTGGGGGCATGGACTAGGTGCTCTGGGGGAAGGAGGGGTTTAGAGGTGCCAGCCAGTAAGCATCCCCCAGGATCCCCTGCCCAGGTGTGCACTGCATACTGAGGTGACTCCCCTGCTCTTACTGGAGAAGCTGCTGCACAGCCTTTTCCAGAGACCAACGCTGCCAGCACTGTGGTTGGTCTCTGCTTTTTCATGTGCTTGGAGTGCACAGCCCTAGTGCTTGAGGCAGTCGAGAAAAGACTTGGGGGATATCGTGCTTCTTGGGGTGGAGGGCTGAACAAGATGAGCTGGAGCTGTCAGGCCAAGTTCTTCATTAGGTGGCCCTCAACCAAACCTCACTAAGCCACCCACCATCAGCAATGCTCTGGAGACCCTGGCACAAATTGTGTAGCTGGGTTTGGCACTGAAAGTCACAGGGGCCATGCCTGGCCAGGTGTGTGAGGCAGGGATGAGGACATGAAGAAAGGAGTGTCTCATGATTCTTCCCCTTCTAACATCTCCATGAGAAGGACCAGCTGCTCTTTATGAGCTTACCCTCCCTAGTCCGTACTGAAGAGGTGTCTCAGAGCACCAGGCACTATGTGTACCCAGCACAATGGAGGTGCCCCAGCTGTCTGTCTGTTTCCCTTGGTGCTATGCCCATGTCTGTTGTGGGTGTGCAATGGCAGAGAGCTCACAACATTGGCTTGCTATGAAACTGGTAACCCGTGAAAGCACCTTGACTACCGCTGGGGTGCTGCGAGGGCATAACACAGGGAAGCCCTCTATTTACGGGAGAAGACAGGGCTGCAGCTGCACTCAGCTAATCAACATAGGATAATGCTAGATATTTTTAAAGCTACTACCTTTCACTGGGAATGGCTTGGCTCTATGCTGCAGGCCTGTGTCAAACTAATAAAATCATGTTCTAATTCCAAGGTGTATTTTCTATCTTCTTATTTGCATTAGGGTTTAGAACCTGTGTGTTGTTTTACTTAAAATTTCATTGGTGACTGAGGGTTACTTTTTTTCAAATTTTGTTTCTTTGTCTACTTCAAGTGTATATTTCCTTCCTATTTAAGGTAATACCTTATGCTTCAAGCTAGGCAGCTCTGCAAATCCCAACTGGATCAGAGCCACAATATGCTACCTCTTTTTCCAGAGCAAAACTGATCCCAGATGATCCACCTCTTTAAAACTTGGGCAATTTATGGTTCCAGTACTACTGATACAAAAAAGTCATACTGTAAATGCAGAGTCTTGGTGCTTTTCCTTAAATACAACAAATGTCATCTCAGTTATATAAATTTATACAGGTTAAGAACCAATGAGTATGTTCTCCTTATATGAACAAAAGCTCTTAAAGATATTGCCTACACTGCACAAGCTTCTGGAAGGCTTTCTTGAAATCTTCATTAAAGATTGTGTAGATTAGAGGGTTAATAAGGGAGTTTATATATCCCAGCCATGCTAGGAAATTAGACATGTCTTCTGAGATGTGACACCTTTCACAGGTATTAACAACTACTTCTTTTACAAAAAAAGGGAGCCAGCAGATCACAAATGCCCCCAAGATCAGACCCAGCGTAGTTGCTGCCTTTCGTTCTCTTGTGCTAGAGATTCTCTGTTTTTTCCAGGACTTCTCGTGCTTAGATTCAGACCTAGGGCTTCGTAGGGTGATATTGCTTTTATTGCAGTTCACCAGGGGATCTGATGTCTTCTCTGCTGTGCTGGGCATTGAAGCCGATTTGGTGCTTCTTTCACCTGCATCCAAAAGGACTTGTCCATTTGCCTCCTCCCTTACGATCCGGCTGACACTTCTTCTGTGAAATGTCTTTGCTGCCTTGTATATCTTGTAATAAAGGATCAGAATCAAGGCCAGAGGAATATAGAAGGCGCCAAATGTAGAGTAAATGGTGAAAACAATGTGGTCGTGTTTGATGATGCATTCGTCATCCCTGCTGGTCGTCTGGTGCCGCCAAAATAAAGGTGGCATGGAGATAAAAATGGATATGATCCATACCACTGCAATCATGATGCCAGCATGCTTAGGTGTCCTTTTCCTTGCATATTCCACAGCATCTGTGATTGCTCTATACCGGTCCAAAGCAATGGCAGAGAGATGCAAGATGGAACACGTGCAGCACGTAATGTCCACGCTCAGCCAAATGTCACACACCACTTGCCCCATCATCCAGGTCTCCTTTACAATGTAGGCAATGCTGAAGGGCATCACTAGGACTGCCACAAGGAAATCAGTCACTGCAAGAGAGCAGATTAGATAGTTGGCGGGGTGGTGGAGCTTTCTTGTCACAATTATTGCAGTCATCACGAGAGAGTTGATGGCCGTTGTCATTAGTGCAAGCACAGACAGGGTAATGGAAATGAGAATCTTGGATGTCACCCATTTGAATAGTTCTTCTGATGTACCATTTTGTTCAGTTGAGTTTATTAAATCCATGTTCCCTTTTAAAGGTGATCTTTACCAGTAGCAGTTACCTGTTGGAAAAGTAAAAACATTCAGAATGTGCATCCTTAGTCTCCAGGAAGTCTTGATTTTTGTCATCTTAAAAGACTATGGGCCCCAAACTTACAAGAACCTCAGACTTACTATTAGAAATTATTCTGCCTCCAGACAGATTTTCCTGGCTAGCACTATGTGGGATACTCTGCCTTCAGAATAGGGACCTCCTCTTTCTCCTTGGTTTTGCTGTTGAGAAAGGCATGTCTGCATGGCAGGGAAGAGGAGCATGCTGTGGTGCCTGAGATGGCACTGCCCTGTGGGGTGCTGCATGTCGCTGCACGGGGGAGCCAGCCTGGTCCCTTGAGCAGGGCAGCAGCATCAATGTGGCCCCTGGGGTGCAGAGCCAGCCCTCCTGCTAAGTACTTTGAATGGATTGTAGTGGAGTCTTGAAACTGGTTAAAGGTGGACAATCTCATCCTAAAGTAAGTACTAATATTGCCTTTAGGCTAGCACTGTCCACTCCACTAAGCGATGTAATGACTGTTGAAAACTTTAATCCACGGGAAGCAGGCATAATTCTTGTTTTCTCTATATAAACTCCTTTTTCCCCAGCAGTACATGAGTCCTTCCTTGTGTATAGATAAGCATGGGCTTTCTAAACTGGGACATAGTTTTCAAGAGAAAACAGAAACGTGAAACATTGCAGTGCAAACAGGAGAAGAAACAATTGCATGTTGAAAGTTTCATTTTAGAGCTTCTTCTTATGCACCTCTAAAATAAAACAGCTGAATATATTTTAAAGCTTCAAATGGTTGACTTATCGTCTAACTGAAATATTATACATAGCTTAGAGTCTTGAGAACATATTACTTTTCCTCAAGTTTTGCTATTCTGTGGTTGCTGCTGAAGAAAACTGCAGAAAACTTGGATGCTAGTTGTCCTGCTAATGACTCTACGGAAACAGTATAACTCCTCGTACAGCTCTGCAGGAAGCAAAAAGCAGGGAAATACTGATGAAAGAAATTCTCAGTTATGTTCTGGGGACATGCACCCTACTTTCTTATCAAGAAGGGTTTCTAAGCACTCTATGGACCGCAGCTGAAGTAAGAGTTTTGAAGTTTTTAGACTACAGCTTGTAACTCGGGTAAGAGGATCAGATTTCATCCTCTTGCAAGTTTTGACCTGCAATTTCTTGTGTGTGGATCTACCTGATTAACCCCTAAGTGGGGTTTTCTCTGACAAATTTTGGAGTGTAGTGAGTGGGTTGCATTTGCGTTGCGTTGGATGCCACAGGTAGGGAAATACGTGAAATAAGTGAATAATTTTACTTAGGAAAATGGGTCTCATTAACATAACTAAAGCTTTTTGATATTATGCTGGAGTCGCTGAAAAAGAATCTCATATACTGTTTATAACCTTGGACACAACTCACTAATTTAGTTTGAGATTCTAACCTGGGCAATGCTTTATATGCTTGTTTTGGGTTTGTGTGGCGCAGGTTTTTTTGGTAGCGGTGGAGGGGCCGCAGGGACGGCTCCCGTGAGAAGCTGCCAGAAGCTTCCCCGACTTCCCGCCTCTGGCCCAGGCCGAGCCCATCAGCGACGGTGGTCGCGCCTCTGGGAGAACAGATTGAAGAAGGGGACCCGGTAGCGAGTGGGGGATCGGAATGTGAGAGGAACCCCTCTGCAGACACCGAGGTCAGTGAGGAAGGAGGGGAGGAGGTGCGCCGGAGGAGGGGATGCCCCTGCAGCCCGTGGTGGGACGGGACGGCAGGCTGTCCCCCCCCCAGCCCATGGAGGGGAGCGGGTAAGGGGAAGCCCCCCAAGATGGCCGCGACTCCGTGGGAAAGCCCGCGCTGGAGCAGTGCGTGGCTGAAGATCGGCCCGCGGAAAGGACCCGCGCCAGGGAAGTTCGGGAAGAGCTGAAGCCCAAGGAAAGGACCCACGCCAGGGAAGTTTGTGAGGAACTGCAGCCCGCAGAAAGGACTCACGCTGGAGAAGTTGGTGAAGGACTGTCTGCCGTGGGAGGCACCCCACGCTGGAGCAGGGGACGGGCGAGGAGTCCTCCTCCCCCGAGGAGGAAGGAGCGGCAGAGACAAGGTGTGGGGAGCTGACCCCAACCCCCATTCCCCGTCCCCCTGTGCCTCTGGTGGGGAGGAGGCAGAGAGAGCCGGGAGTGGGAGGGAGGGCTGGGGGGAAGGTGCTCTCAGGTTTGGGTTCACTTCCTGATAGCCTTGTTTTGATTTGATGGGTAGTGAATTAAATTGATTTAGTTTCTTCCCCAAGCTGAGCCTGTCTTTTGCCCGTGACCATAAGTGGTGAGTGATCCCTCCCTGTCCTTGTCTCGACCCACGAGCCTGCCTTTATATCTTCTCCTTATCCCACCATGGCTGGGGCAGGGGGGAGTGAGTGAGTGAGTGAACGGCTTCATGGTGCTTTGTTACTGGCTGGGCTGAAACCACGACAATGTTATTGACCTGCTCAAAAAGGTTTTTAGCATTGCTTGACCAACATTTAATTTTATGGAAGAATAAGGAAAGGAAATGTATTTTACATGGCGATATTTACAAATGCTGAGTGGAATCTTGTCCTGTATGTGAGCTGATTACAGCATGTGTGTGCTCTCTTTCTCTCTGTGTCCCTCTTTCTGAACTTGAAATACACTTCATAGGCATAAAAGTAGATCTTTCATCATGTCAGTGTGTCGTGGTTTAACCCCAGCCAGCAACTAAGCACCACGCAGCCGCTCACTCACTCCCCCCCATCCAGTGGGATGGGGGAGAAAATCAGGAAAAGAAGTAAAACTCCTGGGTTGAGATAAGAACGATTTAATAGAACAGAAAAGAAGAGACTAATAATGATAATGATAACACTAATAAAATGACAACAGTAGTAATAAAAGGATTGAAATGTACAAATGATGCGCAGGGCAATTGCTCACCACCCGCCGACCGACACCCAGCCAGTCCCCGAGCGGCGATTCCCCACCCCACTCCCCAGTTCGTAAACTAGATGGGACGTCACATGGTATGGAATACACTGTTGGCCAGTTTGGGTCAGGTGCCCTGGCTGGGCATGAGAAGCTGAAAAATCCTTGACTATAGTCTAAACACTACTGAGCAACCACTGAAAACATCAGTGTTATCAACATTCTTCACATACTGAACTCAAAACATAGCACTGTACCAGCTACTAGGAAGACAGTTAACTACATCCCAGCTGAAACCAGGACACAGTGTCACCTTAAAAGCTTCTGAATCCACAGTAATTGCTAGTTTGCAGATATTTTTGTCTATAGCTAGCTGCCTTCCAGAGAAGGAATAGGCACATATAGTATTATCTTGTGAATGTTCAACGTCTGCTAAATAAATCTTCATTTTCAAGCTTGTATAAATACATGGGAAAAAAAGTTTATTGGGAAAAACTAAGACTTCTGTTGATATCTGGCAGTTGATCATATTTTAGAACAGTTACTCATTATGGTTAATTACCTTATAAATTTCTAACTCTTTGGGTATTAGTACTTAATTGCAAGCAAGCAAAAAGCAATTTAGAGATAATAAAAGTTGATTAATAGCTTTTGAAAGATGATTCAGTTTGGGACTGTGGAGTAAGGAAAATGGTATGGGTGAGTTTGCAAAACTGGTGTGTAGGAATAAGTAGGTTTTGCTAAGTGTGGCATTTATTTGGAGGCTTTTTATAAGAAGCAGTGACAGAAATGTGCTTACTTGCCATGTGCCATGATTATGCTTCTCTGTGTGGTTTTAAGATTATCAGCTGGTACACAGATTTCGTTCAGGCTGCTAGCATGGAAATACAGCAGGATTGGAGATTACCACACTGAGTTTCTAGTGTACTACTGTTAGATAGATAATTGTGCTGAGGTGTCCTGTTCATGGGACATAACCTGTTCTTTAATGGTACCCACCTGGACATATGCCCTCCTGTTCCTACGTGGAGTGTTAAGACCCTCTGCTGTTGCCCTCACAGTCCTGGCAGCAGGTGTCCAAGGTGGTCCCCATGGGCTGCTGTGCAGACCAAAGAGTGTGGCTCCATCCAAGGGAGACAGCAGTATGGTGACAATATCTGCCCTCCAAGGTAGTGGCTCCCTTTGAGGTTATAGAGCCATTCAGTGGCTGTGCTGCTGAGGATTGCCAGTCACAAAGTTTAGTGGCTTTCCTGTCCAAGTGGGATGGGAATCCTCTGCTAACTGTGGCAGAAATTTGCACAAGGTTATTGGGTGATCATTACCTAAAAAGATTGTTTTATAAACATGGGGAGTTGAAACACTGGCAGCATTTAAGGACTGCTGCTTCTCTCTCTTGTGATCACTTCCAGGATGAACTAATTCTGGATTTTCTCTTGCGGAGTTGAACTCAGTTCAATCAGTGGCCATCACTGGCTTCTGTCCTCAGCAAGCAACCAAACCACTTTAGGAGTATGAAGAATGATCCTGGAAACGGTGCACTGGATTAGGATGCAGGAGAGCTGGCTTCTGCCCCTCTGCTGCAGGCTTTCCTTGTCAATTTTTGAGCAAATTCATTAAAGTGCTTTAGTTAACTCTTTGTAAAATAGATACAGGAGTATTTCTGTGCTACCCTACTTTGCATATTTGTATTGCCTTCTCTTAGTAGCATGAATTATCTCTTGTATGCATTTAGTGCAGGGAAGATCTAATCTCAGGTGATACCCCCAGGTGCTGCGGGCATACTGGCATACCTACACACTGTATTTCCAGCTCGGACTTTGCTGTTATCCCCGTGTGAGTCTACTGAGCTCTTGCCTCACAGAGCAGTCACAGTTCCTCTGCCCTGTGGTGTGGCCATCTCCTTATGGCCACATACCTGACATAAGACTTCAAAATGAAGCATGGAATACTTGGAGCTCTCTTCTCTGAGCAGAGAATTTACTCTGGTAAATGAAAACAAACTTGCAGCCATGCTGAACTGAAGAGAAATCTGTATTTCAACAATTATTGAATGGGTTCAGCTGGGTTCA